ATGTTTTCGGCTTACTGACGTAGTAATTCGACGAGGAACTCGACTAGTTTCAAGCCATGCTAGAGGCTCATATTCATGAGCAGCATTTCCCGACCCGCGACGCGGCGACTGTCGCGCTGCTACTGGCTACTCCAGTCTGCGAGCCCAGCGCGCCCTCTGCCGTGATTCACGCGCACTTTCTTCCATTCGTGGTATCGGCGACGGCGGCGCGCGTGAAATGCTGCTCATGAATATGAGCCTCTAGCATGGCTTGAAACTAGTCGAGTTCCTCGTCGAATTACTACGTGAGTAAGCCGAAAACATTATAATTTACATAAAAATTTTACTATGTACTGTGGGCGGCAGAGCAACCTACTCTATTCTATCAAATTTCTTTATTAGATTATCAACGTTTTCTTTATGTTTAGATATGAACTTGAAAATCCAATTGACACATTGGAGTAGGCTGATGTGCTGGCCACTGTACCATAACGCCAGGATTTTAATATTAAACTGAACGGAAGCCATTAAAGAAGTATGGACTTATACACAAATATCACTTGAACAACACTCATTGAGGTAGTCACTCGAGACGGCAAAATATCAACCAGTTTACTTATACGCCAATAAATCTACCAAGTACATAAAAATATATTATAATAACTATCTATCAATACAAAACGTGCAACGATATTAAATATATATTATGTATTCTAGCTTCTATTACAGTATTAATCTTTTAAATTATGTAATATGTATTGTAGTAGCAACTGTAAGCACCCTTACAAACTGTCAATATGGTCTAAGTATACCAGTAGTCCTTTACATCAATAACGATAATTTAGTTATTAAATCGTGATGTTTTTCAACCTTTTCCATGAAATTTTTGACTTAGTGACAAAATTCTGTCGTTAACATTGTCGAGACTTCTAAACCAGAAAGCATGAGTGTTACATTCTTAAACAAAACCCATTAGTGTATTTATTCAGAAAGGTGTCACATACGTATGTAAACAGGGTTTAAAATTGCACTGTATTTTATCTATACAAATGTAAAACTCATGCCTAAGGCTACTTAATATAACTTACATACAGATATTCATCGGACCAAGACAATAATAGTAACACAATTTCATTAATTTACAGCTTAACAATATGGTAACCAGGAAGCCAGGCACTTAGTGAGAATCAGCATTACATCTACGTTATAATGTAATACTAAGATAATTATTTCTAATATAAATAGTTAAATACAATTCATACTAGAACTGAAACTATACAATTTTATATTTGATACTTTTTGTGTGATACATAAATTTTTATTCCTTTTCAAATATTCGACTGTTTATTTGCGGGAATCTCTAAAATTACTACATTAATTTTAATGCAAGGGCCTTTTTTAGATCCATGGAAAAACGAACGTTAATTTCAGGATATTAGGACTACTTTTTATACTTACAAAGAGTATCAAACATGCATTGCAGGGTTACACCTTGGTCAACAATATCTAAGTAATATCAACACATGAGTGGAAATTCACGCAATATTACAACCATTAAAACTGTCACAAAAATATAGAAACGCATTTCTATGATAAAACCGCTCAACAGCCATTGAATCGAGCATAGACATTAAAATAAAAACGTTGCAAAAATTACTTGCTTTTTATGAGTGCGATATGTTTTTAGTTATCAATACTAATTTATTATATATCTTTCGTAGGACATTCTAAATTAATTATCATGTTTTCGGTTTACTAACGTAACTATTTGACGAGGAACTCGACTAGTTTCAAGCCATGTCGCGCGATAGTCGCCGCGTCGAGGGTCACGGAATGCTGCTCATGAATATGAGCCTCTAGCATGGTTTGAAACCAGTCCAGCTCCTCGTCAAATAGTTACACGAGTAAGCCGAAAACATAATTACTCATTTATGGTTTAAAACTTTCATCCAATAAGCGAATTTTTAACTCGGGAATTGAGTGCAGTCTATAGATTTTTTATGTATTAGGTAGTGCATGTTCATCTATTTACAAGAATTACTAGATAATGTTTTAAAGTCTAGTTTAAACAGTGATATTATTTAATTTACATTAGCAGTCAATAATCTTAAGAACTGTTAAGTTTTTAAGTTCAATCTTTACAAAATTAATATGCCTGAATGACTTCATAATAGATTCACTTCGATCGAAGATCTTTAAAGATATTGATTGAAAAACAGCATAGTCTATATAAAAATAAACATTATATATACATAGGTATATCACACAACACTAAATGGGACGGCAACTACTCGGATTTTTAACGCAAAGGTAGGCAAATATTTCGTTTGTTAACCCTACAAGTGTCTAATGCACGGCATATCTGCTTAGTCGGCGTAAAATTTGCCTTCAACACTAATCTACCAAAGTCAAAGGGTTAATTTAATCACAATAAAGTGGATTCAGCAATATCCAGGATAGTGCTAAATCCACTATATATACCGGGGTATATGGCTATAGGCCCATCCCCTATTACATGGTACTCATAACATAAATAGTGAAAAGTAAGTGTTACATTGTACAGTGGTATTTATTTGCCGTAATGTGCACCTCTGCGTATACAAGCCTTTTGATAAAAAGGTTAAGTGTATTTTAAACTACACCAATGGTACTTAATGGCGTAACTTTAAAAATGTTTCAAATATCTACATTAGGTACTTTACAAAGTTACTACAACCAGCTGATCGCAGGGTCAACGCCCACGTGACCTTTGACTACAATTTTGTAGGTTTATTTCATGTAAAGTCATTACCAACAACTATAACAATTAATTTGGGAGCTGCCTCTATAATATGGTCATTATAGTCACGAACAAAAAGTTTTATACAAATAAATATTGTTTTAATATCTAGCACTAGGCTATAAGTGAAAACAATTGCTTGGAAGGATGGGTAAGTGATAAAAAATATATCGATAAACTATGTGGGTGACCATGTAGATATTTGATGTTCGATTATAGACTTAAAAGTAATTTTAAAACGTGTATTTCAAGATCAATATCAGAAATATCATTAGGATATACCTAAATAACACTATGTACAAAAGTTTAGGCCGAGTTTTATTACATCTAATACACCAAACTTCAAAATATATTTAAATTACTGCAAAATCAAATTTAGCTCATCTTTGGTCAGTTTATAATCTTTTTTTTAAGAACGAATTTATGGTTAGCAAAAAAAAAATATAGAAGTAGAACGTAAAATTCAATTAATAATGTATAGAGTATAAAAACCTTGTTTAGCTTTGACTAAGCCTCTGTTCCGCAATAATTTTCACCATAAATTAGAAAGAGACAAAATGATAGCCAGAGCTTGAGAATATATTACGGACTTAGTATCTCACAGCGTCTGTTATCCATATAAGTAAATATCTTGTAACTTAATAACATTGGAATGTGAAACCAATATTAGTAATTTCTGTGATGTATGATTCCTTCGAAAATCCCCACAACCAAATTACAAATACTACGTTATTACGTATACTGATCATTTATAGTATATTTAATTTGAAAGACGCATCTAATTATGTTATTACAGCTACATTATTCGTAAGTAAATAATTTTAAGTGAAATTGTCTCGCAAATCCAGACTTAGGTAGCATACAGATATCCCTAAAGTTTAGCGTCAAACTTATTAAGTATTATAACATGTGCCTAAAATTAACTTTCTGTGCAAACTATACTACGATTAAACATTGGTGCGATTGTTTCAATCATTTTTCTTTTAAGACCCCACAATAATGTTCATGAAATTCATTCGATTTAGAAATTTTATCACATCACTATGACAGAGTAAAAATTACGTAGAATAGTATACCTACTATTCTACGTAATTTTAAAAACTGATGTATGTTAATAATGGACTAGACAATGCATTAAGTCAGTTGAGATTCTATTTTTCAAGCCGATATAAAAAAACAATAAAACAATCTATAAACTTCACATGTATCTTTATCTGTGGTCTGACATAAACGTACAATGACAGACGTCAAAACTGCCATAGATTAAAAAGTACAAATTAAGACTGAATAAAAAATTAAATGCATAACAAAAACTATATAAAATAGGTAATAAAAAGTACCTACTTTAAGTTAATAAATATCTACCAATGTCCATTTTCAACATACCTCGGTGACATGTAAGGTTAATGAACCTGTGTGTAGCACCAATAGCTCATGCCTCGCTAAATCTGGAGCAGCAGGTGGCTCTTATGTTTGACGCTGTACTGGAGCCGTGGAGGGTAACCGTGTCAGGGTGATGAAGCATGCCCAACTCTTTTTCTGCTCTTTGCTCTAGGTCCACCCATCTGAAAGTGGTAGTGTACAGATACATCTGATTAGAGTGAGAATTGAAAATTAACTGCTTTGTTGATGGGAAGATCATAAATCTAAAATATCGATTGCCATTATCAGGAAATGAAATCAGGACTGGCGAGGGACTGATGCAACATTTTGATATAAAAATATGTTTTGGGATTGTTCACAGATTGTTGTTCCGGGTCTGGGTGTAATGTGTATGTGAACTTGTATGTTTGTAAACGCACCCACAACACAGGAGAAAATCCTAAAATAAAATAGATTAAAAAAAGGAAATCAGGACTCAGGATTATAAGGTCAAAAAGTTTCTCCTTTGGAAGTTAGTCATTACGACTCATGGATCTAAAGGCTTTTTTGTTCTGAGTCTGAGGTGACCGAAGCCTGGGTTTTTAAACATGATAAACATTTGACCTACCTCTGTACAGCCATGGAAAACGCTTCAACAACATTATTATCATTCTTCGCAGACGTTTCAATGTAAGTTGCAATCTTGTTCTCCTCACACCACTGCTTCAGCTGGTCGAATGTCACCTCTCTATCTTTTGAGGATACGTCTGACTGGAAATTGATGAACAGAATCATATTAATCATACAGGTAGGGCGTCGAAGATGAAGTGCGGTTTATTAGATAAAATATGCCGTGAGTGGCTTTTCATAAAAATCTAATTTCAAGAGAGCAATTTCGGATATTCTCGACACCTTTTGCCCTTTTCCAGTACCTAATATTGTCTATTATTCGGGTTTTAAACAATATAGTGAAGAATACCAATGGTCGCACGAAATGTTTTTCTGTGCTTCTATTATTTTGCTATTACTCAGAACTGTCCCTGTTACGAAATTGACAATTCTACGCGTTGAGATATGATTATGGTTTAGCAAACATTTTACATTGATCTTGGCCTAGGTATAGAATACACTGTAGGCTTCGCCACAACGTTGTAACTTGATCCCCTCTTTTGTTAATAATTAAACATTCAATGTAAAAGTGTTTGGGATTCCTAAACGTCTCTTACGGTTTTTTTTAAGGGGGGAATACCATCGGATCTCTGCTCCCGCCTGGGTGAGGTGGGAGGGGAGTGCCAGACTCTTACTGACTAAAAACCACCCCGTTCCTTCTCCTGCACGTCGAGCCGGAGCCCGGGAAACCCGTTAAGTTCTGTCTCTTACGGTTACGAGCGAGTAGTGAGTGACAAATGTTTTATACTCTGTCCTTATCACGCGGGAGAGATTTAGAACAGAGAGTAAAGTTTCCTAAGATAGAAAATGGAGCATCCTGCGACCGAGCGAGGTGATCGCGCCTAGCAGGTAACTTTCTATCTGTTAATTCACGTGTAAACTTTTGGATTTGAGATCTCATCATTAGATTTCGTCGACGACTCTTCAATGTGCGTGGCCACAAGTACCTACAAAAGGATTGGTAGACAGAAACATCTACTCTACTATTTTACTTAGGTACTACTGCTACAGTGCAAGCAAAATCCGCTTTACACCAGTTGACCAATGACTCACAAGCACAATGACCACTTTAATTACAACGTACGAAATGATTTACTACAACGTGTCAGTGATTAGTTTAATATCCCTTAATTCGTTTACGTTACGTAATCTGTATTTAACTATTCACCTAATCTACTAACACCTATCGCGGCTTTACAGGTACTTCTAACTTGCGTAACATAGTCGCAGTCGAAGATCTTGTATTGATTCAATAAATTAATAACGTAACAAGGTAATCTAGTCTGAACTTTGAACAGAGGGTCGAATAAAATGGCATCACCCTAGTCCCTAGCAGCTAGCGGATTGTAGCAGTTAGATGGTAAACCATGTAAAATACGAACATTCAGTCGAATCAATACTGTGCCGATCTTTTAGGAAAAAATCCACAAGAAAGGAGAACACGCTAGTCTATCTAGTAAATTAATATTGCAATATGATTAGGTACATTGTAACTGTCGTGAGACATACTAAATTTATTATTATGTTTTGCCGTTATGTCGCGGGTCGCGGAATGCTGCAAATGAATATGAGCCTCTAGCATGGCTTGAAACTAATCCAGTTCCTTGTCGAACATGAGTAAGCCGAAAAACAAAAATGTGATGATCAATGACCCTTTAGGGAACAGAGAGTATAATTCCCTAGGATCGGAAAAGGAGCATCCTCCGACCGGGCGAGGTGGTCGTGCCTGGCTGGCTTTCTGCCCAACAGCTGATCGTACGAGCGATGTAGGATTTTGCGACGACATCCGTTGATTTGTGACATGTGTCTCCACAACCCAATAGGAAAGAATGGAGGAGAACAGTCCATTTTGCGGGGATGAAATCCCTTGAGGGATATTTGGAGTTAAATTGGACTGAAAAGTCAGTTTTCAGTCATTTAGTCTGATGTCGGTCGTGATTGCCCCAATTGACGCACCCAAAATGCACCTATCTTTACGACATGGTCGATACAAACTTCACATTCAAATTCGCAGCATAAAACTATGACGCGCGCCATTAGGCAATGTAGTCACGTCATAATGATAATCGACCAGTCAACATTATTTCGTAACTGGTTGCATGGTTATAGTACTTATAGTTACGTTGTGGTTTCTCATATCGACCGTCTTTGGGAGTTCCCTCAGTCGACAGAACGAAAAAATTGCGTGTAAAAAATAGAAAGTAGGTATCTACTTGCAAATGTTCAATAAAATGGTCATTGTTATAGTTAGAAGGTACATTTCTAGACTACAGTTTCGCTTTTTTAAGCGAGAAAGCTAGTACTTTTATCAATAAATATTTCAGGGTACAAAACTGTCTACACTTTCCTCATTTTATCATAATAATTATATCTACCTAGTCCTATTTTTTACTGCCTCGACTCCATTTGAACAGAGTAAAATGTAAATAGAATAACAACCGTGCAACGCATGTATTTGTGTGATAAAATAAAAATAATGCAGTGTTATCGCATTTGCATGAAGATTTAATCTAAAGAAGTTAAAGACTAAGTCACATTGTACATGATACATGTAAAAGAACTATAATTACTATGACGATGCACAATCTTTTGTTGACAATACCCAAGTCTTAGAAAACGTTTTTATTGAACAAAATCCCCCTCACCACGTCATTCGTATCAAAAACCGCACTGAGCTCGATATTTTGTGAATCAACATTAACCAACTTTGTTTGAAAACAATTATTTATTTCAGACTCGACTCCGTAGAATTAATTAATGCGGTTTCCCTGGGTATACCTATTAAATTACAATTAATTAAAATTGATATAATTTGGTTTTGTAATAAATACCTACATAATAATTTTACTTATATAAAGGAAAACAGAGGCACGCGATATGACGTGGATTTGAAATTGAAATAAATAGCAATGCGAATATCCAATTTCACCAATCCTTTTGACTAAACCCTAAATCAATTCCAGGGAAATTTTGTTATAACGTTTTAAATAAACTTTTGGGAGTTTCATATCGTGTATGACCCTCGGTTTGGAGGGGTTCTTTGATGTCCAGTCGCACGCACGAAATCACCGTAAATCACGCAACTAGCTTACTGTTTTAATGAACTCTTAAATTGACCTATATAAATTATATTTATTAGGTACCGTATGTATTATAGCCTATATGAATACAGTGGACATGACCGCAAAGGTTCATCGTGTATCAGATTTGCGCCCGTGACACTTTGATCATCGTACAAACCACAATCATTGGCATTTGGGGCCATTGTCGACCTGACTGATTTATTGGCGATTGAAATGTACCATTTTATCTTACTGTGTGGTTGCTTGCATAATATTTAACATTTAGTAAAACTGCTGAGTCTCAGTCGGTCTAATTACTACTTACTTAATTTAATTTTCAATCACTGAAGCCCCAGCTATGTCTATTCAATTGACTTTCTCTGAGCAATCTTAAACGACCAATATATTCATTACAAATATCACTTTTTTGGTTTCAATGCAGAAATGGAATTTACGACAAGGCAAAGTAGCGATGTCTACTACGCAGCTAAACCTACGCGATGTCACGTACGCTAGCTAATATATTTTTTGTTTATCATTACTATGTACGTACCTTATTGCCGACAACCATAAATGGGTATCTATCAATGCCGTTCTTCACTCCAGCGTAATGTAGAAACTCATTCAGCCACATCTTAATATTATTGAAGGAGCTGCGGTCGTCTATGGCGTACGCTAAGATGCATATATCGGAGCCTCTGTAGAAAGGCGTCCGCAGAGACTTGAAGCGTTCCTGTCCTGCTGTGTCCCAGACCTGGAAGAGTAATTTTATTACAATATGACTTTATCAAACACTAAGACATCATCATCGGCAAATGCCTGTGATAATGTACTGCTGGACAATGTCTCTCCTCTGTATGCTCTAACTTTTTTTATGGAATAGGAGGCAAACGAGCAGACGGATCAGCTGATGGTAAGCGATCAGCGCCGCCCATGGACACCCGCAACACCAGAGGAATCACATGTCCGTTGCCTGCCTTTTGAAAAGGAATACGATCTTTTCTTGAAGGTTTGAAGGTCGTATCGATTCGGAAATACCGCCAAAACTATAGGGCTTGCCATTGTCTCCAACTTGATTGGAGTTGAGGTTTGGAGCTCAATTAGGATAAATCCTAGTATTTCCAAGTAAATTTGGAGAGTAGTATTCCTACAGCCTCAAATCTATCCTAAAGCCAATGAAGGTGAAAATTTACATTCAGAACAAATTCGTTATTGCGTTAACTCAGTGTTGTTACGAGGTAACTCTTTATCGCGTTTTTACAGTTAGGAAGTACTTCTTAATCTTACGAGGAGATTATGGCTAAAACTAAATAAAGTTCTCGTTAAACCCATGCTAGCATCCGAGTGTTTTGTACCACGGATAATAAATCAAGAGCCTTATTTATATTTGCCTTATGTTATCAATGTTCAAGGTAACCATTATGACTTAGACAAAAAACGCCATGGTTACTCAATGGCACCTGTGTATGAATAAATTGTAGTGTTCTTGCTATAAAAATATGTGACATGTTACCCATTTAAGTTTTTTACCAAAGTGTGGTACCTACAGTAAGATAATTCTGCTGTGCTTACAACAGTTTGAGTCGTAATTACGATAGACTTAGGATGTTCGCAATTACTCATGCTGTAATGGCGAGACATATGGTGTTTTGCAAAGGGATCATTATGTTTGTTATTGAGTAACTACTATACTCTATTTCCTTAACGGAAACTTCATATCTTAAACTACTACGAATGTTTTGTTTATAAATGCAGAATTGATGCGTAGGGACTACAAGGACAACAATATACTTAATTTATTCTAATTAGGTAAACATTTTTTATTCAGACTGCCTCATTAGCCGCGTGGTCGCAAGTGCAACTGTCGGCAAGGGGTCTCGGGTTCGATTCCCGGGTCGGGCAAAGTATTACTGGGTTTGTAAAAACCTCAGTAGTAGCACGGAGTCTGGAAATGTGACCGGTATATGACAATAGGCTCACCTCCTATTACATGGGACTCATAACATAAATAGTGAAAAGTGGGTGTTACATTGTACAGTGGCATTATGTGTCGTAATGTGCACCTCTGCCTACCCCTTCGGGGATAAAAGGCGTGATGTTATGTTATGTTTTTTATAAAGACGGAACCCCTTTTTTTGAGCAGGGAAAATCATCCAATGAATTCTCCTCTCTCGCCTTGGGTTAGGCGAGAGGGAGTGTCAGACTCTTACTGACTAAAACCACGCCGTTCCAACTCCTGCTTTTCGAGCCCCGGTAACCCATTAGGCCTTCCTCGGCTCCGTATCGGGTATCACCCCTACTGGGCCCCACCTGCGGTGGTCTGATGGCTAGCCTTGGTTCGTTTATAGTTCAGAGACTGTTCAAAATTATTAGCAGACACCCTTTTTAGGGAGTTAAATAGACTGTGAATTATACATAGGAGAATGTTTATGTTCTAGCTAAAGTTTTAACAAAATATATTTAAGAATCTATTTAACTATAAATCTTTTAAAACTTTCGCAACACATACTTATAATTGCTTACTCACGTAACGGTTTGACTCAACTACCTAGTTTCAGATTTCTAGAACTAGACTAATAAAATTAACGTTCTTATCTAATTTTCTTTTACAAGGAAAATTCAAATTGACCTTAGCAAAAGATTGTTATCTGAATTAATTACTTTATTAGCAGTTTACACTGCTTTCCGTTGTTAATTACACTGATTTATATTTCATTGTCAGTTCCTACATTCTTTGATAATAAATTCTACCTTTCTAATGTGTTTATTATCTAATAGACGCACAATAGATAACTATAAATATTTTGTAGCATACAAATAGTACCTATTTATTATTTTGGTCAAATCAAAAGTATAGACAATGAAACAATTCTAGCCATTCAACTATTTTATAAAAAGTAATTACTAGTGAGTCATCAATTTAACATTTTTGTCTATATTTTTTCAACAACAATATCAACAGCCTATAGGTGGCCACTGCTGACCAAAGGCGTCTTCTCACACAGAGAAGCTTTGAGCATTAATCGCCACGCTTGCTCAAAGCGTGTTGGCAATTTAAAACTTATGATGAGAAATTATAAGCTTAGATTTCGTCACGATGTTTTCCTTCGCCATTTGTCAGGGATGTCTAAATAATCTTAGAAAATACATAATTATAAATCGGAAAAAGTCGGAAGGTATCGAACCTGCTCATGCATGAGAAGCTAAATAGCTATACATTTTATTAATGACTTATTATGTAAAACTAACTTCTAGCTTTCGAAATGCAGGGATAAAATCAGTCTATACCACTTGCTAGCCTCCTAATTATTTTCAGTCATGTTACAAAAATGATCACAATATCATCTACATATATTTCTATGAAATGCAGATATTTTTGTCTTGTCAGTGCATAAAAATATGTGCTCTGCTAAATAAGACAGCCTCACACAGTCACTCTAACTTATTTACCTTGATGCAGATAATAAAAACCTTGAGTTTGAAGGTGCCACTTTTTGTAAATAAAGTAGAAGTTGAATAAACAATACAATATACATAGTTTTTATTAACTATTCTAGTATTCTTGCAGTTTATCTTGTCATGAGAGATGTGTTTGCTCTAGTTAAATTATTTAGTTATGGTAATTTCATAGTATTAAAATATTATATTTATTAATTATGTAATTGTTTGTTTTATATGTGTTAATTACTTTTTTTTATAAAAAAATATATTGTGAATAGTTATTTTGAGTATTCTCTTATATTGTTTGTAAACAGTTTTAAAGTTTTATAGTTTTAAATGTATCTATTAGTAATAAAGTGAATACAAATGTTTATTACCTACTTATTCTCACAAATTATAACTATGACGAAATATCTTAAGGTTGAGACATCGAGAAATTATGTGACGTCTCTTTAAAAATTATTACTGCTGTATTTCTTTTTGAAAGATGAATAAAATCATCACAGAAAAAAAAAAATACTAAATTAAAAAAATTAATGCAACTTTATGGAAGTCCACATTAATATTCATTTTGTAAAGAAACAAAACAATTTGGTCACAATAAGATAATGTCTAAGGTCAAATTGATTCAACAGTTATTCAATGTTTAAATCCGACCTCATTACACTATTGAGATCAACCCACACATGCAGATCTGCATTTAGATTTTGATTTAGCAGTTTATGAACAATTTCTATTTAAGTAGGATGACCCATAAAGTGAAAATGACTTTACCAAGGGACAATCTATTGGAAGCAATAGACATTGTTTGACACAGGCTTTATACCAAGTGGTCTTGTATTGACAGCTGAAGATTTAGCTCAGAGATGAGCTATTGGAAAGGCATATGCCCAGTGGATAGAAATAAGTTAGTGATGATGATGATGATGATGCCACTGAGCTCTCAAGGTATGCCAAAAAAAATCAATGTAAAAAGAAATACGATAGCGATTTTGTATTTAAAAACTGTTATAATTATCATTGTTAATGGCAATTTAGCGAACTCACTGTCAATTTGAAACACCTATTATATTTCATTTCTTAGAAGAATATTAGCAATAAAAATAGGTACAAAACACTTAATTAGATATTCTAGGCAGCATTTTTTATGATGCATTTATTCAAGGTGAGCAAGTTAATGTCCAAGGAAAATTACAACTTATCAATAAAATCATACTGGTGATAATACAACAAACAAAGTTACGATTTTCAACCTTGAACAATGTCTTGAACGAATTTTCTTTAATGATTATTATCAAAATGAAATTAGTAAACAAAGTAAACTAATTTTTAATTATTGAAAGAAATTACCTGTAATGTGTATGGTTTTCCATTGACTTCTATTGTTTTATTCATGAACTCGACTCCGATGGTGTGGAAGCTGTGGTCATCGAAGTGGTTCGATATAAACCTGCTCATCAAACATGACTTCCCCACTCCACCTTCTCCGAGTATCACAATCTTCAGCAATGTGCTCTTGTTAGCGGTCCTTCCGTAACCGCGATCACTATCTTCCACCATTATGTCGAACCACACATTATATTCACTAAAACGTTTCTTTATTACCGCAGCCTTGAGTTAAATAAGAGCGCAAAACTACACTATTTAATTAATGACTCATTCAAACTGATTTCCTATACCGTTACTAACAATATCACTAGCAATTAACTAACGACGTTAGTTAGGAATATAAAAACTAAGATAGATGTTTCCAGATTCGAAGAAATATTTTTATTTGTAAATATTCTCGCACGACGATGCTTCACAGCTGTTCCAACGAATTTATTTAGCAAATGTCAATCGAGTTGTCACTGAGGCACCAATCAGTGCGTCGTAAATAAAACTAAACAATTTTTAGTCGACTATCTTTGATTTCGTATTCAATTAATTTTGTAGTTGATGATGATTGCAACTTTTATAAATTTCAAGTTAAAGAATAATTATAATTCAAACTTAAAATAATGATATACAAGTTAAATGTGGAAAGCCCTTAGTCCCTTGCTGCACTGCAATCGACTAAAAAATCTCAACTACTCTACTAAAAGTAATTTTAATTTATACTTTTTATAATAAAACTGAAATATTATTTGTAAAAATCTTTAAACAAAAAGTAAATTATCTTGATTATAAAAATACCTCAAAATTTATTGTTAGTGCTGCCATCTCTTATGGCTTTAAGCATATTCTTGAAGTAGTGCCATCTATTATTCTTTTTATTAACTAAGTAATTTGAAATGTTCTAAATATCAAAACAAAATGTTTTATACACAAGCACATTTTATATAGGTGCAAAATCATATCAAAGTGACGAATAATTACAAAACCATAGAATACCGTTCTTGTAAAAGTTTAAGTTATATTACGATATATTTTGTAGAAATTATTAATTGGTACATTAACTTTATAGCGACATCTACAATTAATATTTATGAAATAAACGATTAAATAAAGTGAAACGACCATTGTGTTCAGTAACCGCCAGGTGTCGATAATATTTACCTTTTGTTTTGACGACCTCGACTCGCGAGTAGTCGCGAGATGTCACGCTCACTCGGCCGCGCGATACAACTTTATTCCGCTTTGTTTTGCGGAGGTGAGAGGACATGGTGTAGCTGTCGCTCGAATTTGTGCGTTGTGTTCAATGTTTTTCTTATTAAAAAGTATTTATTGAGTGAATAGACATAATAATTTTGTACGAAAAGTGTTTTTACATTCGAACGAAGACTGTGCATGTGTTCAAGTAGATGAAAGATCAGTACATTTGCGCAATAGTTGGTGAGACTTGATGTCAATAAACTTGTCGGTTGTATTTTATGGGAAAGGTGTGCCGCGTCGCGCTGGTACCTGTTCTCGGCGGGTGGGTGCTCGAGGCCGGGATAGTGACTACAAGTTAAATGCAGTTGGCTTGTGAGAGCCATGGAGTCGTAGACAGGATCGAGGTGAGTAGTTACGTTTTGTGAATTTCGGTGGAGCAGCGGGCACGGGACGCGGGGCGTGCGACCGCGTGCATTCACCTCTGACCCGCGCGCGGGGCGAGCGCCGCTCAAGGTCGGTGCGCCGCCTGAAGGTCGCTCGTCACGTGACGCGAAGGGTGCTCACCCCCGCCCCTCGCGCCTGCCGCCCCTACCGTGTGTTTATGTTGATAGTCGCGTACACAAGTGTTACCTCCTTAAAATCTGGCCAGGCCTAGCTTAATTTTTAAGTTTTTGATAAACTGTGCTTAAATAGTATTAGAAAACGTATTTTAACTTCATTGCACCTGTATTATCATACTACATACATGTAAGGTAGATTACACATATTTTTCTGACTTCCTATTAGATTCTAATCCAATAACAAAAAACCCGTAAGCCCATGTAACGGGCATGCTAACTAAATGACAAATAGGAAAGGTAGGCGCTTGCCTCTATTTTTAAATTCGCATTGTCTCATGCCTCGGTAACGCATGCATTCAACTAACGGGTTATAAAACGAAGCTTGGCATCTATTATTATGTGATGAACCTGCGATTCGGTGTGCCATAAATAATAGGTGTTTAATAATGGTGATTTTATATCTGGCACTGGTTTTATAAACAAACTTTAACGTTGGGCGCGTTTGCAGTTTCAGATTTCTGAATGTGCAGAAATAAACGTCCAATTGTAACAATTGTAATGCGATATTGATAAAGATAAGGTATTTAGGTAGGTATGCTAGCGGACATTTTATCAGAGATTTATCTGTGACGTTGTCTACAACTGCTGATGGATAACACGATTTCAATGTTCTTTCCAAGGTAGCAAATGCGATATTCGAGGAATTGTGTACGTCGCGCAAAGTTGTTTATGTATTTTATACTTTACTTTTCGGAGCTTATTATACAGATAATATAATAACAATATTGTCAAAAGGTTATAATAGTCGGGTTTATCAGACATAACAAATGCGATTAGTATTAGAATAACTGTTTACCCAAGAGAATCCGTTTTTATAATATCAGACTATTTCAAAAATAATTTTCTGTTGCCCAAAGCTCCCGAATTTCCTGAAACATTTATAAACGCAAGGCAAAAATTCTTTTCTGTCTGTATCACATAAAAAGTCTGAAATGACTAATTTTATGGCGCATTCCGAGAGTTTTAGAATGCATTTTTTTTTTGTTTTAAAATGATTTTATCGTTGTTTCGTCTACCGGTGGAACTTATAAAGTTCAAAATGACCTTGACAAATGTATCTTCACACGCAAATATACAACTGCATCTTTTTATAAAGCACCCGTAATTCTGTAACAATCTGGCCTCGCGAATCGTGATCTACGAATACCAGTAAAGTCAGGCTACACGAGTATACTGCAAGCACGACCTGACGACGCGAGCGCCCGACAAAAAGTTGCATATTAATGTAGCCATAGCTTTATAAGTAGATACTTAGTTATTATTAATTCGATGCCAGACCTTCGATTCTGACTCTACGATTATTATTATAATTTAGATTATAGAATTTTGTAAATTTCCCAGCATTTACTAGAGCCGTTAGTATTTTACTATAACCTCAATTAAACCAAAGTGAATGCGTTAACATGCGTAAAACGAAAACCTTGATACATTATAATACAATTTATAAACAACAAATTTTATTCCGAAATGAAACCTACACCAATTATCATACTCAATTCAGTTTTGTCATATGAATTTGCATTACCTTGACGGACACAGGTACCTATTTCAGCCAGACACACCTTCGTTCACTACTCACTAATGATTTCGTCACAGACAGACTGTGGGTGGTAATTGTATTGGAGATCGGTATCGTATTAGGTAAATATTATATACTGTTAGATTTAAATTAATTAAAACAGCGGTATTACGGTACACGGCCGAATGTTAAGCAACTGTCTGCATATAAATTAGTTATTACTTATTGGCATTGCATTCGCCTGAGTCGATTTTATTAAAGAAAATTATAATTCTACGAATACTGAGCTTTGGTAGCCATTAAATGGGCATTCTAACTTGCTTGCCTCATTGGCTGAATTGAATTAACAAAACACCGAGACCTCTTGGTCTCGGTTACTGTTACTGGGTTATTTTTTTTTTAATTCTCAGTAGTAGCACGGAGTCTGGAAATGTGCCCGGTATATGGCAATCGGCTCACCTCCCATTAGATGGGACTCGTAACATAAATAGTGAAAAAGTGGGTGTTACATTGGACAGTGGTATTAAGTGCCGCAGGCAATGTGCACCTGTGCCTACTCCCTTCGGTGATAAAAGGGGTGATGTTATGTAACGTCTAACTTGCTTTTTGATTCGTACTTTGTTCTATATTCTGTAGCTAATATAGTGCCTACATGTCTCAATACCTAAAGATTTCAATTTACATTTACACATTTTTATTCAATCAGTCTTATTTTACGTTTGCAACTGTTAAGACAACATCTCACGCTGCATTGTTTTTCTACATACATTGGACAATTTTAGTAGATATTACCTCTAGATTACTAATTAATTATGTATTAACGCAGTACGTATTACCAATTGGAAACTTCGCATACACATTAATAATATTTATAGATACATACACTACAGACTAAAGCCGAGTAATAGTTATGAATAATGTAAAACATTATAATTCATTACGGACGATGTTATTATGTATTATGGTAATGTTCATAAATTGTGGTCCTGGCTGTTTGGCAACAGTTATTGTTATCGTGTCTGCATCTATCTACGGACCGTTCTCCGACAACACTGCCTGTTTAATTGCAAAATGAATGTTGAAATAGGATCTAAGCTGGCTCATTGTTTGTATTAAGCCGGATGGAATTGATTAATCGCTGAACTACTGCAGTAATTAACCATTAACTTTACAGTTAGCGGTCAGGCCGAGTTATTCCTAATGTTATTGACTTTTTACCGATCCACAGCTGTACCGACCAGACAAACAACTTTTAAATATAGAAAAATCAGCTCGGCGTGTTTAAAATACATTTGTAGTCCGGAAACTTTGTATTCGTGAATAGATTTACATAAATAAATAACTGCATATCACGGTATGAGATGCTGTAATACGTTTAACTAGCTTTCTAACGTACACACTGCGTAATTTGTGCAATGTAGATCCAGTTAGACATATTCGATGTACTGTTTTTTTTTTTAGCAAATATGTATAGACTTATCAATTTACAACTGAGTTACCAATAACAAAGATATATTTTTATAATAACTATCGTGAGACATACTAAATTAAGTAAAAACGCGGGTTACTCACGTGAATATACTGAGAAAAGCTCTACTAGTGAGCTGCGCGACGTCGCCGCGACCGCGCACGCTGCTCATGAGGAAGAACCCCTCTGTGGTTCGAAACTAGTAGAGCTTTTCTCAGTATATTCACGTGAGTAACCCGCGTTTTTACTTAACAAAGATATAAATTGTCATTCATTAACGTAGGTAGGTACAACATAAAAAAGAGGATACAAGTTCAAACTCACGGGGGTATCAGTATGATTGTTCCAATCATGAGTTTATCGCGAGCTCTGAGCAACAAAAATACCATGAATTTCATCTGGAATTCGTTGGTCGTAATAAGATGTGTGAGTGTGTGACGCATCTGATACTTTTATGATTTTTACAGAACGTGAATAAAATTCTGTTTAGTAATAATATGGAATTTAGTTTAGTAGTAATAATATCAATTCGTTCACTACCTTGTTATGATTTGTTATCGCTAGAGTCAAAGGTTGCAGGCGTCATTCATTAGGTATAGTGAACAAAAAAAAAATTAAATAAAAGGCGTTTGGCAGCGAGTGTACTCTCACTACTTTCACGTGTCTCTGTGTGAGTGTCGTTGGTGGTGTGCGTCTCGGCCGGTGACCTTGCTATCAGGCGGAAGCGCGCGGCCGCGTGAGTCAGCGCGCGTCTGCCGAGGGAGCAGAGACCTTCGCGTAACGTCTATACTACCAACCTCCATTGAGTACCAAGCCGACCAGTTTTTTTTTCGGCCCCCTTTGCCTTTGTTCAAATTTCGAAGTTGGAAGCTATTATTCTTTGTGGAATCATCGAGGTCGAATTCGTATAGATTGTCCTTTTTATTTTTGCATGTTACAACACATCGTCATCAAACCGAATTAGATAGTAAGGTAGAAGTCAAAACAGGTTTGAACCCTTTGACAAAATGTTGTCAAGGTGAGAAGGTAATGCAGTGTTGCCACTTAATTTTTAAGTTATTGTAAATACGAGCTACGTACAAGCATAGTATATATACTATGGTACAAGCGCATGTTCCATTGTGTAGTGTGCTTAACCTACAAAAAGAGGCTCTCTTTGTTCGTATTTTTTTTGGAGGGAATGCGTTGTTTTATCGGACTGTTTCTCTTATGCCTGCTCTAATAAGACTGTGTTAAACTTATGTTTAGTCTGAAATTAATATAGTAGATACCTAATTCATTTCCTGACGCATTGTAATTCGCTGTTTCATCTTCGAACTTCTTAAATTCCACAATATTCTAATTAAAAACTATAAAATGGTTAAAACCGTTTTCAAATTAGACGTTCAGTTTCAGATAGTTAACCTATTCTCAGAAAATAACTCCCTATAACTAACATAATTACCTAAGGAAGGATAACTAAATAACTCTCAAAAGCTTAAAACTGGCCACAAAACAAAAAAAAAAGAATCCTGAGCTCCTAATTTAAATTTCCTTATTCCTTATTGGCAACCATTTTGTTTGATGACGTCATCCAGACAACCTGACCACAACAATGCTACATGAGCTAAATTCTTCCAGTGTTGTGTAGACGCCAGTACTTAAAGCTACACCGAATTGTGAAAATACTTTCATGAACATTCGACTTTATCACAACAGAATAAGGTTGAAAATCGGTTAAAGATATACAGTTTGGGGTAGCTTAATGTACTGGTGTCAGTACAATATTCCTATTGTACGTGCCTGTAGCCTTGATAA